TGTTTAATACCAGCTTCTCACACACATTTACTTTATGCACTTGTTTGGAAAAGATACATTTCCTTTTCCTATCAGTGAAAATATCTTTTACAAAATCTAAGCTAAGCTGAATCCCCTTGTTATTTCTGTACACCAGGAGAGTCACAAAAGAAACTAATGCCAACACCAACACTACATTAACTGAGTTTGCAAAAATGTAGTGTTCGAAGTCTAGACAGAACAAAGGCAAGGGGAGTGGAATAGAGGCACAACAGTAGCATATTGGCTACTTTTTATTATACCACCACCACCAAAGACAGTCTTTAACAGAACTCCTGAGAAACCCCAACAGCAGAAGTACCAGCAGCAGGAGTAGCAGAAGTAGACTCTATGTGGCGTGAGGATTACTTCTTCTCACCTGTAATGCAGACTGTGGCGCTGGTGGAGTCCACCCCCAAAAGGTTTACAGCTGTACAGGTATACACCCCCTCATCCTCTATAATGTCAAAAGAGTACAGAATATTAAAAAACATAAATCGTAACCATTAGAGAAATATGTTAACAAACAAAACTATACAACTATATACCTTTTCCACGTTCCAATACATTATCCTAACCTTTTAACAATAGAGAATACGTAATTTTTTACTGTACATCAATCAAAAATTTTGAATAATGGCACTAACCTGGGAGCACCTGAGGAATGATCAGCCTACAAACACCGTTTCTGTACACTATCTGGTAATCTGGCCCGTTCTGAAGTACGCTGCCCCCTTTGGACCACGTGACTTGCACTGGTGGATCTGCCTGCACCACGCATTCTAGACGCAGAGTCTCTCCCACCAACACCGCCAGGTCGCGTAATGGCTGCAGGAAATGTTTATAAAAGCTTTTAAAATATTTGGACTTTTCAATATTTTTTCCTTTCAAAGGCACTGATTAATATTTTATTGAAGCATTAAGTGTTAATGGCAATGCCATCAAAGATAAATTTTGTTACAAACTGAAAAATTAAATTGCTGCAATAACTTAATGTAATATCTCAAAAATTAAATTGCATAAATGAAGCGGTATCACAGTAATAGCAGCTTTGAAGAAGTTTTGCAACTTAAAATGAAAATAAATTATCTATTCTCTGTAATATTCAAAAAAAAGTATAGTTGATTATAGGTGGTTATAAATATATATATATATATGTGTGTGTGTGTGTGTGTGTGTGTGTGTGTGTGTGTGTGTGTGTGTGTGTGTGTGTGTGTGTGTGTGTGTGTGTGTGTGTGTGTGTGTGTGTGTACATATATATATATATACATATATATATATACTATATATATATATATATATATATATATATATATATATATATATATATATATATATACATATATATATATATATATATATATATATATATATATATATATATATATATATATATATATATATATATATATATATAATATATATACATAATATATATACATAATATATATATATATATATATATATATATATATATATATATATATATATATATATATATATATATATATATATATGTATATATATATGTATATATATATGTATATATATGTATATATATATATATATATATATATATATATATATATATATATATATATATATATATATATATATATATATATATGTATATATATATATATGCATATATATATGTATATGTATATAGTATATAGTATATGTATATAGTATATGTATATATATATATATATATGTGTATATGTGTATATGTATATATGTATAAATGTATATGTATATGTATATATGTATATATGTATATATGTATATGTATATGTATATATGTATATGTATATGTATATATGTACATGTACATGTACATGTACATGTACATGCACACACACACACACACACACACACACACACACACACACACACACACACACACACACACACACACACACACACACACACATATATATACATATATATATATATATACATATACACATAAGATATAAGTGTGGGTGTCAGTGTAAGTGTAGGTGTAAGTGTAGGTGTAAGTGTAGGTGTAAGTGTAGGTGTAAGTGTAGGTGTAAGTGTAGGTGTAAGTGTAGGTGTAAGTGTAGGTGTAAGTGTAGGTGTAAGTGTAGGTGTAAGTGTAGGTGTAAGTGTAGGTGTAAGTGTAGGTGTAAATGTAGGTGTAAGTGTAAGTGTAGGTGTAAGTGTAGGTGTAAGTGTAGGTGTAAGTGTAGGTGTAAGTGTAGGTGTAAGTGTAGGTGTAAGTGTAAGTGTAGGTGTAAGTGTAGGTGTAAGTGTAAGTGTAGGTGTAATTATAGGTGTAAGTATAGGTGTAAGTGTAGGTGCAAGTGTAGGTGTTAGTGTAGGTGTAAATGTAAGTGTAAGTGTAAGAGTAAATGCAAGTGTAAATGTAGGTTTAGGTGTAAGTGTAAGTGTAGGTGTAGGTCTAGGTGACTGTGGGTGGGGATGTGGGGATGTGTGTGATTGTAATTTTGAGACTGGGTATACCATCTTCACTAAAACTTGAAATATTAAATGTCATAGCAGATACCATGTACCATTCTCATTTGCAAGTGTAAATTTTTAATTTGTAAAATCATAAATATATTTCTTTTACACCTTTGTTCTATCATTATATGATTTCTACATTTAGTGATAATTTGATTCTTAAGTTATCTTTAATTTACCACTGAGATGGTATATTTTATGAGTAACCAAAGTATCATAATTATGACAGAGAATCATATATTAGTAGTATATTAGTATCTTTCCATGCAGTGAAAAGAAATTTTATTTGCACAATTATCTTGATCAAAATTTAGAATCTGAAAAAAAGTCAGATTCAATAAAATATATGGCATAACTCTCAGGTCTTGCAAAAATTCAGTCATCTATAACATACACCTTAACTCATCTTAATATTAAAATTCCTTCTAGAAAACAAATTCATTCTCATGTGGGTATCACCAGGTAGGCCACAGTGCTTCAGGATACCATATCCATTTCTGCAAGGCATTTGTATCTATCCTAAAATTGTAGCGTGTGTAATAGTGCTTTGCTACTTACCTAAAAGTGAGCAGTGTAAATGGGTTCAGACTCACTTACCGTGATGTAATGTGGAGGGCGTTTGGGCTGTGTAAGAGGACCAGAGCGGGGTGTTGAGGGCGTGGAAGGGGGGGTAGCGCTGAGGGGAGACCCAGGTGCTGTAGGAGGTGAGGTAGAGACGCCAGGGGTTAGTTAAGTGAGGGGGAGGGGACAGTGCGCTGTTAGCAACACAATGTGGAGACAGGAGCTGTGCCTTGCTTACATACCAGTCTGGTTAAGCAAGCTACAAATCAAAAGGCTTATAATTTAGAAAAGAAACAAAGCACAATCCCATTTAATATATGAGACTTGTCTGTGATTTGTTACTTGAAATAAGGTTTATAAAGTAAATAAAATAAAAATAATTTAAAATTGTTTATATTTCAATATAAAATAATATTTGCCATGCACTTTTAATGATTTTCATGGGTATTTTTTTTAATGTACTTTTTACCTTGGTTAGGATGCATAAGGTATTGTATGTCTTTTGTGTTCATTCTACAAACATTCTTGGAATTTTTTCTCAATATCACGTTTCTTGTGGTTAGGAAAGCACATTTCAAATGTATTCAGCACATTGTAATCTGAATTCCTTTCATACCAAATATTGATGTCCTGACATTTATTCTAGTTATTATATATCTACTGCAATGCTTTAGAGACAGACATTCAAAATAACTTAAAATTATCATCATGCAATACAGAACTTAACCAAAAATATTAGTTTTTTCATTCATATGCATGAAATAGGCAGGCGGATGGAAAGGAAGACACCACCACATAGGGACACAGATCACCAATACCTCCCAGTTCTGCGACAGTGCTGAGCGGATCCACTGGAGCATCGTGGATGGGGCGTACTGACTTGGGTTGAACTGCTGCACCAGGAACCAAAGGCATAAATCTCTTAGGGCCTGTATCAATACCATGAACTGGCTCTGAGATCTTGGTTGGACTTGGGTGATCAGACTCAGCCTCGCTGTCTGAGTATGGGTCACCCGAAATGGGACGGAACTGTGCTTGCTTCTTGGGCACAAATTCAGGAATCATCTTGCCCATATACTGCTGATACTCACGGTCTGTTTCCGAGATGTCTGATTGCAGTGATGGCTGAGGAGATGTGTGATCTTCTTCTGGAGCCTCTGTTGATAAAGTCTTCCCTGTTGTGTGAGGAGGCTCTTCTTGCAAGGATGCTTCCTGTGGTGTCTGTATGTGTCCATTTGTCTTGGTGCTGCTTATCTCAGATTTGCAGGAAGTACCAGATTTCTCATGAATTACTGGTATAGGGATGTCTGTGCTGCGATCACCATTAACTTCTTTCTTCTTTTCCAACTTCTTTGCTTCTCCAGGTAGAATTACTCCAAATTCATATCCAAAGTCATATTTGAAGTAGATCAGACCTGTGTCTGGATCAATGTGTTTTGTGCCTATAGGAGAAAGGTGAAACTTGTTGCTTAAGCCTTTAATTAGTAAACCTACATGCATCCCAAGTGAGCATTCTGTGCTTTACATATGAAGGGATATTACATGCAAAAGAAATGATCTGCCATCCACAACCCCTTTATAGCCATATATATAATGCACTAATTTTAATAATAAAATAAAGTGAGGTAAACCATCACCTAAGTACAAGCAGAAAGCATTATGTGCTAAAATACTTCCATAACAAATAAACTTTTCATAGGAAGATAACCTTCAACTTCCAGAGAAAAAAAGTGCTCCTAATTTCAGTGGCAGCTGGAATCATCACATACTCTTGGTGCTAATTCCTTAATCTATATATCATGTGAATACATCACGTGATTTGTCTCCTCATATCTTGCAAGAGAAATGATGTTATTACATATCTACTGCAATGCTTTAGAGACAGACATTCAAAATAACTTAAATTTATCATCATGCAATACAGAACTTAACTAAAAATATTAGTTTTTTCATTCATATGCATGAAATAGGCAGGCGGATGGAAAGGAAGACACCACCACATAGGGACACAGATCACCAATACCTCCCAGTTCTGCGACAGTGCTGAGCGGATCCACTGGAGCATCGTGGATGGGGCGTACTGACTTGGGTTGAACTGCTGCACCAGGAACCAAAGGCATAAATCTCTTAGGGCCTGTATCAATACCATGAACTGGCTCTGAGATCTTGGTTGGACTTGGGTGATCAGACTCAGCCTCGCTGTCTGAGTATGGGTCACCCGAAATGGGACGGAACTGTGCTTGCTTCTTGGGCACAAATTCAGGAATCATCTTGCCCATATACTGCTGATACTCACGGTCTGTTTCCGAGATGTCTGATTGCAGTGATGGCTGAGGAGATGTGTGATCTTCTTCTGGAGCCTCTGTTGATAAAGTCTTCCCTGTTGTGTGAGGAGGCTCTTCTTGCAAGGATGCTTCCTGTGGTGTCTGTATGTGTCCATTTGTCTTGGTGCTGCTTATCTCAGATTTGCAAGAAGTACCAGATTTCTCATGAATTACTGGTATAGGGATGTCTGTGCTGCGATCACCATTAACTTCTTTCTTCTTTTCCAACTTCTTTGCTTCTCCAGGTAGAATTACTCCAAATTCATATCCAAAGTCATATTTGAAGTAGATCAGACCTGTGTCTGGATCAATGTGTTTTGTGCCTATAGGAGAAAGGTGAAACTTGTTGCTTAAGCCTTTAATTAGTAAACCTACATGCATCCCAAGTGAGCATTCTGTGCTTTACATATGAAGGGATATTACATGCAAAAGAAATGATCTGCCATCCACAACCCCTTTATAGCCATATATATAATGCACTAATTTTAATAATAATATAAAGTGAGGTAAACCATCACCTAAGTACAAGCAGAAAGCATTATGTGCTAAAATACTTCCATAACAAATATCATAGGAAGATAACCTTCAACTTCCAGAGAAAAAAAGTGCTCCTAATTTCAGTGGCAGCTGGAATCATCACATACTCTTGGTGCTAATTCCTTAATCTATATATCATGTGAATACATCACATGATTTGTCTCTTATATTCTTACAAGAGAAAATGACTTAGATTTTTCTTTCCTTACGTAATTACATATAAATTTCATATATACACGTTTCATTACATAAATTGTAGATATCAAAATCATAATCAATTCACTAAAAATTATTTATTCTAAATAAAATGGGGCAATACAATTTCCCCTACATCTGTTACACATTATGTAAATCTTTCAATATTAATGGTATTTTTAATTTATGGAACTAATTCTTACTTTCTATAATTCTTATCAATTTGCAATGACTAATACTGAGTGTAAATATCTAGAAACCTACAACAATACATACAAACATCACCTTTTTGTTAAGAACAAGTAATCTGCATCAATAATGTCCTGAAAATCAACTGCCACTGAAATTTTCATGCAAAGCCTTACCTGTAAAGCACAAAAGAAGATAATGGTAACTCACCAAATTCGGAGACCCTGGATTCATCTCTATAGGCCTGAGGTTCCTGGACATCAGTTGCAAGTCCATCAGCAGTAGTAGGAGGTGCAGCAGTGGAGACTGGTGAGACAGATTGCTTTTTGAGTTCTTCGGGCATGGATGGAGGTTCACCTGCAGGCTCAGCTGGAACTGAGCCCTCCCTGGCAGCAAATACCTCAGTCACTAGCTGCTCAGCAAATTTCTGGGCTTTGTGGCGGAATGTCTGTGTCATGTCCTCAAACTGGTGGCTAACTACCTCTGAAATAATGTAACATTTTTTATAATATCAGTTAATTATCAGTTCAGGAAGTGTCAAACAATATAATTCTAATATTAGTATTTTTAAATAATATAGGACTATTAACAGCTTCATAATTATTCTAAATATAACAAAAAAATTGGTCTTCCACTTACTCTGTGCAGACTTAGCATACTTTTTGTCAATGCCAGTTTTGGTTGGTGATAAAGGCTGTGTAAGTGCTTCTGGTTCCGTTTCAGTATCTGTATGAGAAATGTGAGGATGGTGTCTGTTTTCATCTTCCAGATCAAATGGTTTGAATTCTACTTTTGGGAACCGGGGTATGGAGTACTCTTCCAAGGACTCACGTCTTTCCCTTCTTGGTATATCTGAAAGCTCCACCACTGGGCGTGGAGGACCTTCAAATTGAGGGGGTTGATCAAACTTGGAAGGAGGTGATGGATCCCTGCCTGAAGATTCACTTCGACGCTTGCCAGGATCCCCAGCAGGGGGTGCAACTCGTCTATACATTGGTTCTTCCCCTTCACTATCAGGAGGAAGCCACTTGGGAGCAATTGGCCTGCTGTCATAATCACTTTCGTAGTCACTGCCTCTGAACTCTCCTTTGAAGAATTTCTTTGGTTGAGGAGGTGGAGGACCTCTTTCACGTTTTGGTCTGTGTGGCTCTGGTTCATAGGGGAACGGTTCTAATTTAGGGAACTGCTTCCCCTTTCCTGATTCTGTATCTGTTTTTTCAAGCTCTGACTCAGATACAAAGTCATATATATCTGTAATATCAATATCTATCTGGAAACCTTTCTTAGCTTCAATCTTTTTCTTAATCATTCGAATGTGTGCATCCTCTTCTTCCTGAACAATACTTGCTGTTCCACCTTCAACATATCCAATTTCAGGTTGTGGTCCTGGCTCGGGTAAGGGAGGGGATGGCACTTTGGGCCTTTCCGGCTCTTCCTGTTTCACCTTTATTGAAGGAGCTTTTGGAACCACCTTCGGGGTCTTACTCACCTTTTCCTCAATCTTTGGAATGATGATTTCTGGAGATGTTTCCTTAAATGCTTGCACAAGAGGCTGATCTATTGGTTTAATTACTGGCCTCAATGGTTCACCTGATGTGGGTGGGACATCAAATTTAGATGGAGGAGTTGGAGTTCGGTCTCTACTTTTAGAAACTGTTCGTTCTCTGGGTGGAGGAGGTCTGACTGGAGTGTATTCTGGGTCTTCTACATCACTGTCGGCTGGTTTCCACTTTGGTTTTAGCCTTCCTTCATAATCACTTTCATAATCACTCTCCCTAAACTCTCCCTTATAAAACTTCTTTGGTTTTGGTGGAGGTGGGCCTCTCTCTTTCTTAGGTTTTGGCTCCTCAACTGTGAATGGGAATGGTTCCAGGTCCATGACCCTTTCACTTTCCACAACCACATGCTCTTCTTCAACTGGGGGAGGAGGTCGTTCTGGAACTTGCTCATAATCAGTTTCAGTGGTTGTTTTCCTTTCCATTTTCTCCTTCCTCATTCTCATTTCTTCTTCCAGCTTAATATCAGTGAATGTTTTCTCTGTTCTTTCAATAATTTTTGTGTATGGCTTTTCTTCATATGTCTGCACTTCTTGCATTGGGGGAGGTAAAATTCTTGACTTTACATCTACTTTATCAACTACATACTCAGTTTGCTGAATAATGACTCCTTCTTCTGGTGGAGTCCCTGGGGGAGGCAGCTCTGGTGATACTGGACGTTCTGGAAGTTTCTCAATAGACTTCGTAGCCTTTACAACAACTTTCTTTTGCATTTCCTTTTTCAGTACCTCCTTGGGGATAGGAATCTCTGCGCTTGGAGCACTCTCTACAGTAATTTCAACCCTCTCAACAGACGGACGCCAAGGTCCTTCTTCTGGTGGAACATCAAAAATTGTAGGAGGAGTTGGTGTTCTCTCTCTTGTTTTTGAGGGTGTCCTGTCAGATCTCAACTGTGGCTTAACTTTTGTGTAATTTGGATCTTCAGCATCACTGTCAGGAGGTTGCCATTTTGGTCGGATACGACCTTCATAGTCACTTTCATAGTCACTCCCAGTAAAATCACCTTTGTGGAACTTTTTGGGTTTTGGTGGTGGTACACCCCTATCTTTCTTTGGCTTTGGTGGATCAGGAGTGAATGGGAAAGGTTCTAAAGCTGGTAGTGGTTCCCTTTTAGGTTCTTCTCTTTTAGTAGACCTTGACTTCCTTTCGGAGGATGATGTCTGTTGACTTTCAGTTGAAGTTGTTGCAGTCCTTGAATCAGTGAATTTTATAACTCTAGTTGTTTGTTGCATAGTAACAAAGCGTTTGTGATAGGCACTGGAGTCTGCTATCTTTGTTATCTTTGTTGACTCAACACCAATAGCATTTGAAAATGGTGACTCTTTAGGCTTAGATTCAGCATAAAGTTCTTCAGGAGGAGTACCAGGCTGCAAAACAGGTGATGGTGACCTAGGTGGAGGCTCTTTTTTAGGTGGTTCCTTTTTAGGAAGTTCCTTTTTAGGTGGCTGCGACCTGAAAATTTTTGGCTCTTTTGGTGCAACTTTTGGGGGTTCAGGAGGAGCTACATACTCTACTTTCTCTGGAATGACTATCTCTGGTGACACATCCCGTTCTGGCTCAGTTTCTGATTCAGGAAAATCAATTTTAGGCCTTGCTGGTCCTTCAAATTGTGGTGGCTGATCAAAAGCTGATGGAGGTGTAGGTGTTCTCACGTGTGGCTGTGACACTTTGCCCTTCCCAAGTGGTGTGGACGATAGGCACTGGAGTCTGCTATCTTTGTTATCTTTGTTGACTCAACACCAATAGCATTTGAAAATGGTGACTCTTTAGGCTTAGATTCAGCATAAAGTTCTTCAGGAGGAGTACCAGGCTGCAAAACAGGTGATGGTGACCTAGGTGGAGGCTCTTTTTTAGGTGGTTCCTTTTTAGGAAGTTCCTTTTTAGGTGGCTGCGACCTGAAAATTTTTGGCTCTTTTGGTGCAACTTTTGGGGGTTCAGGAGGAGCTACATACTCTACTTTCTCTGGAATGACTATCTCTGGTGACACATCCCGTTCTGGCTCAGTTTCTGATTCAGGAAAATCAATTTTAGGCCTTGCTGGTCCTTCAAATTGTGGTGGCTGATCAAAAGCTGATGGAGGTGTAGGTGTTCTCACGTGTGGCTGTGACACTTTGCCCTTCCCAAGTGGTGGCTGAACTTTGCCATAAACATTTTCTTCAGCATCACTGTCTGCAGGTTTCCATTTAGGTGCTATTTTTCCTTCATAATCACTGTCATAGTCACTCTCATGGAATTCCCCTTTCTTAAACTTGCTTGGATGAGAAGGTGGAGGTCCTCTTGGCTTCTTTGGTTTCTCTGGCTCAGGTTCAAATGGGAAAGGCTTCAAATCCAATTCTATCTTTTCTTTTTCTTGGATAGTGACTGCCTGTTTTACAAGACCAGTAGATTTAAGTGGTTCAATTCTGGGGACTTTTATAGGTGTTTTCACATCCTTCTCAGGTTCAGTTTTTAGACTCACCTTTTTCACTGGCTGTGGTAAGACTTGTTTTTCTGATGTAAATGATTGCTTTACTAAATGCTCCTTACGCTCACTAACTGATGATACTTTAATTTCTTTTTCACTTATTTTTGCTTCTGCTGGAGGTGTAGACTTCACTTTTGGTTCTGAGGCAGGAACAGGGGCAGATGTCTCAGTAGGTCTTGAATCTTGAATTGCCTTCACTTCATGTTTCTGTTCCATTTTCACCACTTGCTTTTTCTTGGGTTTTGGTGAAACATCAACACTTGTGCTTTCAAAGACCTCAACCTTCTTGTCTGACATTACTTCTACATGTGTTTCACTTTTCATCTCAACTTTCTTCTTAGTTCTTCCCCCATCAGTAGAAATATCACTCTCATCCTTCATAGCATAATAAGTGTCTTCAGAATATGGGCCTGATGTTCCTGGGTGTCCGTGAGTTTCTCTTCTGAACTCTTCATATTTTGGTTTCTTTTCTTCTTTTGCTGGTTTAGTTTCTGGAGTGGGCTTAGTACCTTGGGCTCCTCCACGCCTTTCCTCACGGACCTCTTCTGACCTGCTAGTAAACATCTGTAAGAAAAGAATGGCAGCCAACATTTAGGAGAAGATATTGCTGGCTCAGAAAACATTTTTGGTTTTGGGCAAAAGTTCTGATGAAACTTCTGAAAGTCCTCTTAAACAAGAATTTTTGGTACCAAACTTTAGTAGAATAAGTATGTTATTCATTTGGTCAACACTTGCTCAAGGTAATTAAATCTAATTTAGTATAAAAAAAAACTCATCAACATATCCAATTATAATACAGTATTGAGAAAGCATCATGATCCAGGTAAGTTCACAAGGTTGTGCTTTATAAGGAATTCATTCACCTAGGCCTAACTGAGACCATTTTTCCTGTGGTACTTACAAGGATGGGAACTGCTCATGGCACATCACACTGTCTGATCAAATCACATCAGATGGTAAACATGAATGGAAAGAACAGGAAGGAAAAAAAAGAAAGATAACCCAAGAACAACAGAGAATGCATATGTCACAGGGACTAAATAGCATCACTATGTATTTAGTATAAAATATTAATTGGTTACAGCCAGGCGAGCACAGTGATGGAGAGAAACTCACACAATCTCATTTACAGGGAGAAACAAACTTACTTAAAATCTCACGTTTTTTTGCATCAATTGCAGTTTAGCTTGGGAAATGACCATAGTTTTTTAACCTGTCCAGGAAGAAAATTGCATTAGAAAAGAATAATGGTTTGAAAGGCGCATTGTATGCCCAATATGCAGGTTCTGACGCTCATGCTGAAGTAAATGCATGCCATTATGAAGAGGAAGAAGTAAATAAAGAGAAAGAACAAAGTTAAAGAGACAAGAAGGCTACATAAATATGACCCTGGGTTAGACGTTATTAGTGATATCGAGAGCTAACTCTGCTAACTGGAGAGTGATGCTACACTATGGTCAACGAGCGCTAGTAGGCGCCAGGGGAAATCTATTTTACGAACCTGGGAAGATTTACTTTCAGATGACTTGAATGTACTGGAGAAGTGCGAGGTCTGACCTACTGAAGAGGCAGGAGTTGAGGGAAAGGGAAATGTACCTGGGGCACCACCAGAAGGGAAACCAGGGGGGAATGAGGTTGAAGTGGGTTGGCCACTGAACTCAGAGCTGGAGAAACTTTTGCTTTCACTCTTTGAAAAGGATGATGACATGAATGATTCACTTTTGGAAAATGAACTAGAACTAAAGCTTGATGAACTTGATTGTACAGTCTTTCCATGACGACGTGGCAAGGTGCCTTCTGTATCTGCTGCATAGCCACTCTCTTCTAACTCCTGCACACTCTTCTGAACAGTTTCTGTCTTTTTACGAGACTTGGGCGATGCTGGTTTTGTCTTCACGGTACCCTGTGTTGAAGATGTTTTTTCAGTCCCACTGCTTTCTTGTGATATGGGAACTACTCTTTCAGAAGTTGGCTGTGTTGGCTTATCAACATGCTCAATATAGTCAGAGGTTAGAACAGGGGTTTCACTTAATGGACCACCACGTATAGGTGATGGAGACTGTATTCTTGAATGACGACTTAGTGGTGTACCACTTTTTGGTGTAGGAGATGAACCACCAGCTTCTTCAAATTTCTTTCTCATACCTACAACACCAATATTTTCTGCTACAGGCTCCTGTACCTGTGTTTTCTGAATGTGAGTCTGTTCTGCTTGTTTGATTGTTTGTGATGTAGCCACAGTAACTGTTTTGGGTGCCACTACTGATACTTTAGGCCCAACTTGTGGAACAATGTTCTGGGCTGGTGCTACTTTAGGAAGTACAATTGGAGTCTTTGGTTTAACTGGCTTTGGAGCTACTGTTTGCATTGATTTCTGCTCTGGTGTTATCTGTGATGCAAGCAGTTTAACAGTCTGCACTATATGCTTACTTTGGATTCTACCAGTCTCTGGTACTGGCGTTGATTCCTTTGAAGTTGGAATATCAGATTCAACATCTGAGAAAAGGTATCCAGGAGGAGGAAGGGTATCAAGCGATGGTGGGGGACCAAAAGCAGAAGGAGGTGGAGGGGAAGGCTGCTTTGATTTCTTGGACCTTCCTTTCTTCATTTTAATGTTCATAGGTTTATATCCCACAGCTTCACTGTCACTCATGTATAGCCTTGATAAGGATCCTGGTACAGACTCATAATCACTTTCATATTCACTTTCTGTGAATGAGCCTGGAACAAACTTCCTAGGCATAGATGGAGCTCTTCCCCTTGGTTTCTTTTCCCTTTCAGGATCTACACTGAATGGGAAGGGTTCCAAAGGAGGAAGCTGGATAATAGGTGAGGTGACAGAACCTTCTCTTGTAGGAACTTTAGATTTTATAGTAATATCCTTTGTTAGTTGTTTCTTCTTTGAATCTGAAGGGAGAACAAGGCCTTGTTTAGGTGCAATGGTTACTGGCTTTGTTTGGACCACAGGCTGCATAGGTGTTATTATAAGAGGTGTTGGGCCTGGCACTGTATCTTTCTTTTCCAGAGTTGTTTTTGAAATCTGTTGGGATGTCTGGGTGATCTCTTCCCGAGTTGTTCTACTTGTAGATTCGCTTACTGATGAGGTGCTGATAGTTTGGGTCTGTGGCATTGGTTGTGGTGGCCATGACAACCTCTTTTCTTTAACAGTGATGTTGCTTGACCAATACACAGATGGTGGAGCTTCATGTGGTCTTGCAGGTAAAACTTGAGGCTCAGTCACAGGTGGTCTTTCTAAAGAATGAGAACGTGTTCTAAGTAATGGTATTGCCTTTGGCACATCTACTTCTTGCACTTTAGGAGGCCATTTCTCATTTGTCTTTCCAGTTGTGGATCTGATCATTTTCTCTTTAATGGAGGATTTGACTTCTGTCTTAACAACAGTCTTCTTTACAGGTTCTTGTACTGGTTTTGGTGGTGTTTTGGGAACAGGTGATACTGTTGGCAAAGGTGCTGGCTTTGGTATGGTAACAGGTGCTGGCTTTGGTGTAGGAAGAGGTGCTGGCTTTGGTGTAGGAACAGGTGCTGGCTTTGGTGTGGTTACAGGTGCTGGCTTTGATGGGGTAACAGGTGCAGGTTTTGGTGTTGTAATAGGTGTTGGCTTTGCCACAGGTTCTGGGGATATTACTAAATCAAATGGAGGTGGTGGAGCTGGTGCTGTTTTTGCTGGAGTTTGACCACGCTTTGGTGTTGGTGCACGTACTGAGCGGAAACCAGGTAAAGCCACATCTGGAGTGGGTTCTGGAGATATGATAGGAGCAGGTTCTGGAGACATGACAGGAGCAGGTTCTGGGGATATGATAGGAATTGGTTCTGGATGTGAATCTGCTTTTGGCTCAGGAACTGGCAGAGGTAATGGTTTTGGTTCAACATATGCTAGAGCAGGCTCAGGTTTAGGTTCAACATACACTGGAGGAGGCTCTGGTGTAGGTTCAACATACACAGGTGCAGGTTCAGGTTCAATATACACAGGAGCAGGCTCAGGTGTAGGTTCAATATACACAGGAGCAGGCTCAGGTGTTGGTTCAACATATATAGGAGCAGGCTCAGGTTCAACATACACTGGAGCAGGCTCAGGTGTAGGTTCAACATATACAGGAGCAGGCTCAGGTTCAACATACACTGGAGCAGGCTCAGGTGTAGGTCCATACCGGAGGCAGGAAAACACTGGAGCAGGCTCAGGTGTAGGTTCAACATATACAGGAGCAGGCTCAGGTTCAACATACACAGGAGCAGGTTCAGGTGTAACATATACTGGAGGAGGTTCTGGTTCTAGAATATAAGCTGATGGTGCTTCTGGTTTTGAAATAAAAGTAGGTTCTACTGTTGGAACTAGAACTGGAGCAGGTTTAGTTTCAGGTGTGTAAGACTGTGTAGAAACTTTAGTCTCCTGTTTCATAACTTTGGTTTCCCGTTTCTGGAAAGACATGGAAGTTTCCTGAGAACTAATTTCTGAGAAAGAAGATATCATACTTTTCACAGATCTGCCTCCCACTTGAGATTCCTGATATGCTGGTTCCCCTTCTTCAGGTTTAGGAGGCCATTGCTTCATTAACTTTTCTTGTGGTTCTGCAATCTTTTCCTCCACTTTCTTTGTTGGTTCAGGGATTGGTGGCACAGGTTTCTCTATCTTAGGTTTTTCAAGCTTTGGTTCAGGTATAACTATTGGTTTTATCTGTTTTACTTTTTGATCTGTCTTTTCGACAGGTACTATTTTTGGAGGAGGAATAGTTTCCTTCTTTAGCTTTCTTGGCACTGGTTTTATTATCTCTTTCTCCTCTTCAGCTCCAGTGGCTGCAAAGAACTTTTCTACTATCTTGGGCTTTATTTTTGGAGTAACAGATTTTTTCGTCTTGACAATTTCTTCCTCTTTTTTAAGTACTTCAGGCCTCATGCCACCTTCAAACACTGGGGGAGTATCAAAAGCCCAAGGTGGAAGAGGGTCACGACCAACTGAATGAGGCCTGGCAACCTGTTTCCCTGAAGCATCAAATTTAATTTTCTTTAAATTTAGGCGGTGTTCACTTTCCATGTCACTTTCATATTCACTATAGTCACTGTCTGTAAAAGTACCAGGAATAAATTTTCTAGGAATGGGTGGTGGCAAACTCCTTGGTCTTTCTCTCCTAGCTGGTTCTTGGGGTTGGAAAGGCAATGGTTCAAGTTGTGGGAATTTCTCTGGTTTAAATTCAATAGTCATTATCTCTTCAATGGTGGGGGTTGCCCTAGCAGATGATGTTTCTCGTGTTGGTGTTGGTGTCTCACGGACAGGAGTTGATGGCTGCTTGGGACTAGGGAACATGCGAATACCACCTGGTACTTCATCAGGAGACATTGGTACAATTGTTTCTTCCAATCTCTTTGCAATCTGAATAACTGATTCTCGTTTCTTTTTGGGTTTCTTTTGCTCCTTCATATCATCACGTTCAGGGGCTTTTGGGGGCTTTACTGTTTCCTCTACACTTGACTTTCTTTCAGGCATTATGAGAGGAGTAAGTGGTTTCTTAGGTTCTTTTGGTTGTGGTTGAAGAGGCATCTGAGAAAACATCCTAGTCTGCACATCTGATGATGTAACAAACATGGTCTTTGTCTCAGAAGCCATTGAAGAGAAAGAAATTGAACTAAAATCTGATTGCACCTTACTTTCATATGTACCAGATTCAATTTTTGATTGCCATGACTTAGCTGGAGCTTCTTTTACAGGCTCAGCAATCACTTCAGGTAATGACGGTTTAGTATCCATTTGAATTGGTTCAGGCTCTGGACTAGGTGCCTTAGGAGCAGGTAATGGGGATGCTACAAATTCAATTACCTGTTCACTTTCTGGGAGAAAATACTCAACTGTATCCTCACCTTGCTGTACTTCTATGACTGCCTCAGAAACAGTAGGTTCAGGCATTACATTGGAAACTACTGGCTATAATACAAATTCCTGAGGCTCTGAGGCAACTGGTTTCTGAGGCTCTGGTACAACTGGTTCTATAAATGAACTTTGAATCACATGATCTGGTTCCAATTCCTGAATCACTGGCTCTGCAATTTCTGACTCTGGAACTTCCACCTCATGAACTATTGGTTCAGGTGGAGTATCATATGTCTCTGAAACCACAGGTTCAGGTACAAAGGGTTCTTTATCTTCCAGCTCTGGAATTACTTCAGCTACTGCTGGCTGTTGATACTCTTGATCCAGAACAGGTTCTTGAACCAAGGACTCTGGAGTAATGGGTTTTTCAACTACAGATTCTGAAGGAACGGTGGCTTGTACTTTGATATCTGAGCTTATTTCTGTAGAGTCTTCCAGAGGAGGACTTGTTATTCCAGTCGTATATACTTTGGTTTCAACTGTTGAATAACTGGATGACGAAACTGATTTTTTTGTTTCATAAAACATTGATTCACTTGAGGTTACTTCTGTTTTTACTTCTCTTATTACTCTGGGTTCAAATTCAGCTGCATTGGGATTTAATTTTGATATCCTCATTTCCTCTACTGAAACAATTGGTTCAAGTTCTGGAACCTCAACTTCTTCTGTAGACTCTTCAACAGGTTTCGGTTCAAGACTGATAACAACTGAAGGTTCTGATATTATTTCAGGAACAGGAGACACAAGCTTAATTTCTTCTTCTTTAGGTGTTGGTTCTGGCAAAGTTTCTGTAATTAAGGTAACTTCTGGTTCATGAGTTACAGCTTCTTCCTGTTGTTGCACTGGCTCTGGTTCATGGATATGCTCAATTCTATATTCAATTTCTGGCTCTGGTTCTACTTCTGGTTCATGTTGTATTACAACTTCTTCATAAATAGGTTCTGGTTCAGGAATTAATACTGGTTCATCAGGAAGAATAACTTTTGTTTTTTCTGGCTCTGCTTCTTGACTGAAAGCCATTTCTGTATCACTTACATATCCATATACTGGTTCAGGTTCAGGTTCAAGGTAGATATCTGGCTCAGCAGGCGCTTTGGGTTTTGGAAGAGGTTTAGGGGCAGGCTTTGGCTTACTTGGCACAGCAGGAGATTGAGTCTCCATTGCAGAGAAAGAAGATATAAGGGAAGACACATTTTTACTAACTATCTCAACGCCAGTATCCATCCGTGCTGGATATTCTAGATCATCCTCTGAAGGCAGTGGTGGCCATGCCTTCTTCAGTTTCCCTGGAGGCCTTCGCACCTCCTCCTCTGTTTCACTTGCAGTCTCAGACGGTGATTGGTGCAAGGGAACTGGGGGTGCTGGGAGAGATGGTGGGGGAACAATTGGGGATTTGACAGGAGCTTTAGGAGGGGCTTTAAACATTTTAACAGGAGAGGTAGGGGATGGTGCCTCAACTGCTACTTCCTCTATTGCTCGCTTTATTGTTTTCACATGTCCTTCTTCCATAGACTCACTTTTTCTCTGTATAGTAGGAAGATGAAAAAGGATAGATAACAGTTTGTCCTCCACCAAAGTATAATTAGAAACAAGATATATACAAAATGCAATGGTGTGTAAGTGCAGAAATATCCATTTTCTATATCCCAAACCAAAACTGCAGATGAAAAGAGTAAAAGCATAAAACTTTGCAAGTAAGAGCATAAGAGAAATTGAAAAAAACAGTTGCAAGAGTGTCACAGGACTTCTAGAAAAATGTGATTGCCATCTATCAGTGCTAATAAAAATCAGAGGATTACTGAAAACAATACTCCAGATATTAGGAATCTGTTCTGGAATCATTACTATCAAAATAATGACCAAGAAATATTAATACATTATTCCATGCTCAATTATTTTATTATAGCATAATGATATACCAGCATGGTTGATATAGCATTATGTACAGTCCCTTTGGTAACTCAGTTGTTTCTCTGCAGTTTGTCTTTTTAAGAATTAAGACATGACATTGTCCTCAATTTACAAATGACTCCAGACTGTATTCCTTCAAAATGCCATGAGTAGAGAAGTTATAGTATAAGTGAAGTAAGAAAAATTCCATCACCATTTGCATTCTGACTCTGCCATATCCTTTTTAGAACTAGCAAATCAAACATGGCAAGATCTGCACTGTCCACTATTTAGCACAACGGGATGTTTATATACAATTTTGTGCCGCTATGAATGGATTCTGGTATGCGATCATCCATGCTCAATTTCAGTTATGTATGTACAGAGAAGCATAGTCATAAAAGGAAATATGCATATCATCTTTACCTTAGTTTCATCAGTTACATCTGTAAATACAATCTTGTGTGTCTGAGGTTTCTCATCCATGATCAGCTGTGTCACCATAACATCTGCCAAAGTCTCTGCTCGACCAGCTGGGTTGGTAGCAATAGCACCATACCGACCAGAATCATCTAACTGAGCTGTGGAAAAATTGGTTTTTCAGTAAAATACACCAAAGTATGTAGCCTATACAAAATATATATATTTTGTCATTCACTTCACTGAAATTCTTATAACAGCTTTAGCATATCAAATGCTACTATCAAAAACCTGCAGGTACCTATTACATCTAGTACTGACAAGTGGTATTTACTATATACCTTCCTGGATGATGAGAAGATGTCTAGTACCCTCAGAGCGTTGAGTTAAGCGATCACTAGGAGTAAGTGGTTGACCATCCTTCATCCACGAAACTTCAGGTAGGGGGGTACCTGTCACATCGATCTCCATGTGTAGTCGTTCGTTTGCACCCACCACAACAGGTTGCAGCCGTTTCGATATCACTGGTGGGAACTGTTTCTCTGTTGAATGGAAATATTTATTTATTTATTGAAATTTTTCTGACACATCACCAAGAATGGATTCTGGTATGCGATCATCCATGCTCAATTTCAGTTATGTATGTACAGAGAAGCATAGTCATAAAAGGAAATATGCATATCATCTTTACCTTAGTTTCATCAGTTACATCTGTAAATACAATCTTGTGTGTCTGAGGTTTCTCATCCATGATCAGCTGTGTCACCATAACATCTGCCAAAGTCTCTGCTCGACCAGCTGGGTTGGTAGCAATAGCACCATACCGACCAGAATCATCTAACTGAGCTGTGGAAAAATTGGTTTTTCAGTAAAATACACCAAAGTATGTAGCCTATACAAAATATATATATTTTGTCATTCACTTCACTGAAATTCTTATAACAGCTTTAGCATATCAAATGCTACTATCAAAAACCTGCAGGTACCTATTACATCTAGTACTGACAAGTGGTATTTACTATATACCTTCCTGGATGATGAGAAGATGTCTAGTACCCTCAGAGCGTTGAGTTAAGCGATCACTAGGAGTAAGTGGTTGACCATCCTTCATCCATGAAACTTCAGGTAGGGGCGTACCTGTCACATCGATCTCCATGTGTAGTCGTTCGTCTGCACCCACCACAACAGGTTGCAGCCGTTTCGATATCACTGGTGGGAACTGTTTCTCTGTTGAATGGAAATATTTATTTATTTATTGAAATTTTTCTGACACATCACCAACTAAGGTCATTAGCAGCGCATTCAAAATACAGTGGGGCTTGGTATAGCATTATGATAAAGGGTGTGGTGAAAAGGGTAAAAATGAGTTAATGAAAAGGATAATTTGACAGAAGAAGGGGATGGAGAAGAGAAGGAAACTCTGTTGAGGCAAGGGCTGAGGTTCAAGGCTGAAGTGATTCTTTACATAGGGCCAGAGTCTCTAAGCCCCCCATGACAACAATGAGTAAGATGGATTTGGGGGGGAGGGGTTGATTGGAAATATAAACCAAACTAAGTATTCTTCCCCACAGGATTCTTGTATAAAAAGTATGACTTATATTAACTACAATTAACAGGTGAAAAGTAATCCAGTTTTTTGATACAGTGTCTACACATTTGGTTGTAATATAATTTTGACGTGATTCAAAATAGTTTTAAATTCCACAACTGTTACACACATGAGCCAAATGAGCATCTAATCCAATATATGTATATTTTACTTCTAAAAAGAGTGGCTAAAAAGACTCTAGTTTTTCATGAAAGTTTAAAGAATACATAATCAAAATCATACATCTCTGAATACTATTTCATAAACATAATTTTTCATATACCCAGAAATACATTCTACATTTAGAAAATTCAGAATGCATCCTTTCATATATTTTTTAACTTTGATATGTACAACAGAACTTACTCTTGATTATAACATCACAGGTGCACTGGGAAGAGCCACCTTCATTCTGTATGAAGCAGGTGTAATGTCCACTATGTCCTTGGTTGACCCTGGGAATGGTCAGTGATGTTTTGTTTAACTGAGTCTTAACTTGAATATCATCCTTGAGAGGGCCATCGTTATGGGTCCATGTTACAGATGGCTCTGGATAACCTGTAAAGTAGGGCCCAGTTACTTCATTACATTTTTTTTTTCTGATGTTTCTAATTCTTATTACAATAGTGGTAATTTTGATGTTATACCTACAAATATCCTTGTTTCCATACAAAAAAAAAATTATCTTAAACATAAATTGAATACACAGTATAACAATATTTGAACATCACTCAAGTGCTACAGTGAACTATAAAGAGAGTGGTCAAAGTACATAAATCAAAAAAAAAAGAAGAAAATGACAGCTATTAAGTACCATCAATTGTGCTTTCCAGAACAATTCGGTCATCCTCTTTCGCAATGATACCCTGAAGAGGTGTGATGAATCTTGCAGGGGCAGCCTTCCTCTTGCCTGTTGCAAATTTCTTTGGAGGAGGAGTGACAAAAACAGTGCCAGAATCTTGGCTCACCTGCTGGACCACTTTGTCACCCTCAACCTTTACCATGCTTACCTAAGTATAAAAAAATAGTGTTGAAATCTGGTTTTATGTCTATATTTAAAATATTCAACTAAATGACTTAGTTTAACAAAATTCATTACAACACTGTGCCACTAAATCTTACTTTATCACTGACCACAGCTGGTGCAGTCCCATCTTGCCTCATCTCCTGGAAATGTGCTTTGTGAACCTAAAAACATGAAAAAATGCAAAGAAAATTATGAGGAAAATTATTCCATTTCAACAAGAGGTAAGTGACTCTAAGGAATATATGCCACTACTCTAATATGAATCTTACATATAATGAACTAATCATCAAAAAATATCTACATAAACTACAACATATAAATAGAAATCACCTCTGTTGCTGGCTGTCCAGAGACCCTCTTGACTTGTGAAGTGGAGGCTGCAGACATGCTATGCTTCTTCTCATCCATACCTCCACTAGTCATAATAACCTTGGTTATGTGGCTGGTTTCCACCATACTGGATTGCTGGAACATGGTTGAGGATGATGTTGTGGATGATGTGTAGCTCTCCTCCTTCACATGATGCTGCGGTTTCCCTTGAGGCTCCATTGCTGCTGGTTTCGCTACTGCTGTCGGTGGATCTGAAATAGAGAAGAGACTGTCCAGTTTCCCCAACATACTGACTTTATTCTACAATACTTATGGTGATGTTAAAGCTGTATGTTTAAGCCCCAATTATTTTTTTTTACAAACTCGAAGTTTCTTGCCCTGAACCAAAATAACCTTCTATTATCTTTGTACCTACGCCAGTTTTATAGTAAGTTCATTGACTATTCAAAGTTTCACTACATCAGTTGAACTTATCACGACATGATACATCCGTTGCTAATGCCTTCATATTACCATAAATTAGTTGAGCTCTTCTGAAATAAAATGGGGAAGGCCTGATTCGTGCTAACTTCGTGTTTAATCACTTTTTGACACTCTACACTTAACGTCATCATAAATAATTTTCATTAACAGCCAATATTACTTGGAATATATGATAGTGTATACCAGAGGAATATGTGACACTGTATACCAGAGGTTCTTAAATCTTGCAGTCCCCCCCCACCCCCCACCCCAGGGGCGTGGGCGGCTTCCAAGAGGGCGGAAGCCCGTGTGAAAAAATGCAGGAACTTTTCTATTTGTATCTGCATTCTCTTATCAAGTGTCGGTATGCACCCAAATACTGTTTCTACATGTTTTCTTCTGAAGATAGCGATGGGGTGGGGGCGGACAAAATGATCAATTACTAGAGGTAAAAAGATTCGGGCAAAAGCAAATTTATACTACTTTGGTATTATGTAACTAGCATCTGTATAGAGATAAATAATACAACTCTGTTAGAAGATGGAAACCGATGGAAACCGATTATACTTTATACTAAGAACACGTAAGCATTCACTTTTCGCACCGACACTAAAATCGATACAAATTTCAAATTGGTAAAATATCTTTGAAATTAATATCATACTGAAGAAATAATTGTAAATACCTGTTTTTATATATACTTGCTATCGTCAATATGTAAAAAATATTGTATAATACTGTACACTAAAAGCCCTCTCATAAAATCAAACTCACCTTAAATGCGTTTTTTTTTTTTTTCAAATAGCTAATGAGTGAACTGCAACGTTCCTACAGCAACCACGTGTGTCCCCTGGAGCACTCACTCACCGACACCATGATTGACTAGGTAATTTCTGATTAAACATTTGATTTTCCAATAATTTCAACTACTTCGTACTTAATATTCCAAGCTATATCACGTCGATCGATCGGTCGTTCAGTCGCATATATTTGCAATTCAGGGTTGGCCACGGAAAATAATGTGTTCCGGTGCATTTGTCGTTTTCGAATCCTTTGCCACACGTTTTCGAGTTCTTTTATATTTACATTGCATAACACTCTATTTTCAAAATACACTGAAAATAGCACATAACTTCATCTTTTGCAGTCCAACATTTGTGAAAGGGAGCGATTTTTTTTAATGGAACTATTATACGTTTACGAGAAGTATGGTCAGGTGTAAGCTGATGCCGTCGAGGCAGGTCATCTGGCTGCCAAGGGAAGGAGGTCTGCCTTAACTGTCATTTATCAGCCATTGCGTCACAGTGCACTTGGATCAAACTCCAGTACAATTAGCCGTCTAGCTCCGCCCCTTGTCCAAAGTCCTGTGGCCAACCCGACAGGTCAAGACGAGGTTAGAGGTGAACGAGGTTCGCTTTCCCGTCCACAGGTTGCGAGACGCACTTCTAACCTGCATCCAGACGGTTCCCCTCCACTCGAACCGCGACACGCCCTCACTTCACCCACTCTCCCTGGCCCACCCTCCTTCTCATGCCCCTTTTTGGTAAACTCGGAACGCTGCGGGTAATTACTTTACCAGGCTTTTTTCTGCCTGTTTCTAAATCAGGGACTGGATAGAATTACCAATCTAGGAAATCAACACTTGTAACGAAACGTAGGATACAAAGGTCAAATAACTTCGATAAATATTATTTCTAATTCTACCGGCAAAGCCTTCCCGTGCTCCGCTTATGATTCACCTGGGAGTGGAAATTCAAAAAATATATATCTAAGATGGCTGCCAGAAATAAATGAGCGAGAGGCTGTCTACTTAGGAACACCGTGATTTTCTATGAGTGATTCTCCTATGCGTTAAACAAACATGCTGCAAATACGTCAAGATTTAATTTTGTTACATGTTCATAAAAAAATCCATGCACCTGGTCTGCTCGTCTTTTTGGGAAAAAAACGAGCATATGAGAAAATTCCACGAGGTATCTACTTTAATATCTGATAACTCTAATAACTGCAAAGAATTTCTGGTACAGAATTAAGGTAGGGTTAAAGGCCCACCGTGTACCTAATAATACAAGCTGTTTACATGGACGGTCAACATCCTCTTCACCGGCACCTGAAGATGACTGACTCGTGTATTTATAGTCCCAGAATTTTTACTTGAACTATATCAACCGCCTGATGTGCCATCGCCACGAGCTCGAGCACCAACTGCGTCGCCAGTGCGTCAAGATTCACATCTTGTCTCACCAAAGACGGAAATCACCACTCGTCTTCCGATTCCAGACTGCCAGGGGTATACTTATATTCTTTATTAGGGGGGCGGACTCGAATACTGAGGGAAAGAGCATCTGGGGTCCGGCACCTCTTGTACCCCCATTTGGGTCGTCCTGCAATCCACCAGTATACCAATATAAGTATCATACTGTAAACTATTTATTGAAATAAACACGAGTGTGGCAAAGGTTAATGAAGACAGAAGTAAAACATATTAAAGATAAATTTCTTAGCATTTCCTACATACTCTGCCGTGTCTTCTTAGGGTTCCTGATATGCTTTTGCCAACATAAACTGCCATCTGCACTTCTGTTAAACCGATAACATGTTTTCTGACTCTTTGCCTGTATCTAAATTTAAGGCTCTTCATACATCGACTTATTTTCCATTTTTACGAAATGTATAATCTAAGATCTTACAGGCACTAACTACGTCCTGTACAAAAAGATGTACAAAAAGTGTAATATATGGCCTAAAACTGTAAAACTTCCACACATGTTTACGGAAGTTATGTCAGGCATCCAACTTCCTCTCCTCTTGTAAACACGAGTGCCCTCCAGTGTCTGCTCAGACTTTCTACAGTTAGAATATGTCTGAAAGTTGCGGGTTTTAATCTTAACCACCACAGGTGTGCCTGACAACCCTCTTGATATATATCAAAGCTGAAACTAGATTCGGCTTCAAAGAAGTATCATGTATGTGCCTTGCCCACATGCTGAATTAGATCCTCTACATTCCTCATCCCATTTTATGTCAGGAATAACCACAGACTAATATTACATTTCTTGACGTTTCGTGGCCTTCGTTAATGAGGCAATTATCTCGAGAATAACATTAATTTGTCCGATAAGATATATAAAACATTGCCTACATACGCAATGCATTTTCTTAGCAAAATGAAACAGTGCCATTGTAAAAAAAAAAAATGTAGATGTACTGAATTAACACAAACAAGCAAATCTAAAAAAAAATGGATGACATGTGAAACACACCCTTGAATAGTTACAAAAATAACTAAGGTCTCCGGATCCCGGCAGTCTGATATGCGGGTGTTTATCTTTTTCTCTTGAACGTATATAAATATCGTAGGCCGGTGATTAAACCCGTCGCGGAGGGAGGCGCGGGGATAGCACGAACAGCTCGCGGAAGTTAACGTTTGCTTGTAGCTGGGGGCATGCACGCGCGGGTGTTTGCATTGGCCGGGAATGGGTGTTTGCGCAGGGAAGGCGGGGCGAAATAGGAATGGGGTGTTGCAAGTGCACCAAGTTTGGCAAATGGTCTACTGAGGTGTGCTTATCTGTGGCATGGCTTATCACATCGTGTATGTGTGTGTGTTTGTGTTTATGTGTGTGTTTGTGTGTGTGTGTGTGTGTGTGTGTGTGTGTGTGTGTGTGTGTGTGTGTGTGTGTGTGTGTGTGTGTGTGTGTGTGTGTGTGTGTGTGTGTGTGTGCGCGCGCGTGTGCGTGCACGTGTAGGTGTGTAAGTGAGCGCGCGCTCGTGCGTGTGTATGTGTGGAGCGTACAAGCGTGTAGATAAATAGATAAATAGATAGATATATAGACATATATACATATATATATATATATGTATATGTATATGTGTGTATATGTGTGTGTATATATATATATATATATATATATATATATATATATATAGAGAGAGAGAGAGAGAGAGAGAGAGAGAGAGAGAGAGAGAGAGAGAGAGAGAGAGAGAGAGAGAGAGAGAGAGGAGAGAGAGAGAGCGCTACTATCGATCACAAGTTATTGAGATATGCATTTGGAATTTTAAAAATGAAAAACTTTACGGATAGCCACACCATAGATCTTACTGCTTTGGGGTAAACAATAAAACAAACAAACAAACAAAATATAAATAAGCAGTGTAGGGTTTTATTTTAACATGGACATGAATGAAATAAAACTTGATAAATAAAATTTGACATCAGGAAAAAAATGAAGGACCCATAAACGCCAAACAAATGCACCGACAAACACCAAAATGACAAAACGCCTTTATATAAATACATCTCTCTTGTGACTACTGTCAAAAATAAGCCTGAAGTAAGACCCCGGATGCAAGGACCGACCACGTCGTCCAAGGGGGAAAACCTTCTTCGGGGCATGAAAGGCCTCCACCTTCATAAAATAGGAGTTATACTTTACCTTCAAGATTTCTAAATCACAGAGCACAATATTTTAGCACCATTCACTGTTGGTTGTCTACACATGGTACGAGCAGTTTGGCGCTGCCTAGGCACGTAGACGCGTTTGCCCGGCCCGGCTAGGTCGTGCTGGGAGGGCGCCAACATTACCCAGGCCTGACTAATGCTAGCCCAAATAATTCCGACTTCTTTTAATACACGGTAACATCATAAATGAATCACGTTTCGGGGTTAAGCTACGTACGGTGGCTTGCAGATGTACGTTACCTATATCATATGCTAAAGATGGCTATCGAAAAAAAACATTTCCGTGTTCAGTTTCTACTTCGGGAGGTTCTGATTCAGCGATAGAACAGT